AAAAAAAATAAAAAAAAGATTTAAAAAGGATTATTGATTATATTTATTTTTAATTAAAAATAAAATATATTTCGTATATGATTTTTCAAATTAAAAAAAAATAAAAAAAGTTTAAAAATAATTACTGATGAAATTTATTTTAATTAAAAGTAAAAATATATTTTATTTTTAATTAAAATAAATTTTATCAGTAATTTTTTAATTTAAAAAAAATCATATACGGAATACATTTTACTTTTAATTAAAATAAATTTAATCATTAATCATTTTTAAATATTTTTTTAGTTTGAAAAATCATTGAGAGAATAATTTTTATTTTTAATTAAAATAAATTTTATCAATAATCTTTTTTAAATGTAAGTAATTTTTTGGTATATTTGTTTATTTTTATAGATCTAAGTACTCTTTTGGTTTAAAAAAATGTTTAAGGACTTAATCGTTCAAAATATAAAAGTCTATTGGCTTTTTTTAAGACTTTTTTCATTATTTTACCACCTTAATCAGTTGTATAGGTCATAAGAATTTATTTAACAAGTTTTAGAAAGTCCAATGAGTTATGTAATATGTTTTGAAATGTCCAAGGATTTATTTGTTCCAAAAATTGTCCAAAGATTTAATCATTTAAACACTAAAGTCCATTAAATTATTTTTTAACTTTTCCCCAAAAAAAACCAGCACACCTGAATTGGTTATAAAATAATGCAGTGATAGTTTGGTCAAGTTATTTATTTCAATAAATTCTTTAAAATAAAAAAAATAGAAGAGTGAATTGAAATTCTTCAAATCTGTAGAAATTTTAAAAAATAGTATCACAAGAGAAATAATATTTTATTAAATATACGTAATATTTTTAAAAAATATAATTAATATTATAATCTATAAAACGAAAAAATTATCAGAGTTTGATATAATTTTTTGAAATTTTAGTTTTATATTTTGAATTTTTTTTTGAAAGAATCCGTTGAAGATATTAACTAGGGGTGAACTTGGTAGGGTACTAAAAAAAATTCTACGGTATCGTATACCAACCAATTATAAATTGATACACAAAATCTTATATTATGTACTTGGTACCAATTTTTTTTGGTTGGTATATATTAATTTACCTATAAAAGACATGCCATTATGTTCAAATTTTGAATTTTCAAGTAACATATGTGATGTTTAAGAGTTTTTAATTATAATTAATAAAACTTACAACTATTCAAATATTCAAACAAAATAGCTG